ACCTTGAAATGGGAATAGGGCATTTGGGGGTCAGCATGTTTCAACTTTGAAATGGCTTGCATGCAGATTTGAAAGCCTACAGGGAAAAGGGTGGATTGATGCAGACACAATGGCCTCATTTATGTGTAAAATTAAGTAATAATATGGCTAACACAGTACAGAAGCCCATGGTTTAGCGTTGCATGAGAAATTAGGGCTTACGGCTTGGACAACAAGACAGGGTTTTGAAAATCTTAGATCAGTACAGTATTTGAACTTGGCCAGGGTGAGGAAGAGATGGTCCAGCATAGGCTGAACAAATTCTTGGAGTTTATTTTTCCGTACAGGTTTCTGTAGCATTAATGGTGTGTGTCACCACAATTAGCAGCTGGTAATTTCTTTTGCTTATAAAAACGTCCATGCCGTGAGAACTTCAGTAATTAAACTGTGCCTAACAAGCAGAGCCTACTCAGCCTCTTTGGAAAGCTGGTAAGCTTCAGGAACTATTTGTAACTGGGACAAAGTACAGCAACTGGAGCAGACCGACTGCCTTTGGTTTGGGGTTGGGGCAGGATGGGGCCACCCATTCCAAGGATGAGGTGAGGGGACCAGCCCATAGGACAGTGATGGTGAACCTATGACACACGTGTCAAAGGTGACACGCCACCGCATCTTCGGGGACATGCCAGCATTCACCAACGCCAGACAACAACTATTCTTCCTGTTTGAGTTACCAAAGAAACTGAGTTTGTTTTGCTTGTATTACATTTTTGTAGTTATTTGACACTTCTTTATATAATACCTAGCACCACATATGACTGGACTGTATTTTTTTTAAATAAATGAATGTGTAAAGAATTGTTTTTCTTTTGTTTGGGGGAGGGCAGGGGGGTGACACGGCAGCAGAGTCAAGTTTCCGAACTTTTGACACACTGAGCCCAAAAGGTTCGCCATCACTGCCATAAGACAACTTTGCAAAAGACATCCATTTGCTTGTTAATGTGGGTCGAGACTGACATTTTGGCTTTCCAAGACACCCTCCTTCTCCTCTCCCCAGTTCCTGTTCTCATCACTTCAGACAACGTGCACCACAACAACCTGTAATTACATGTTTTCTAAACAAACTGCAGGCAGGCATAACAGGTCAAACAGAAACATGGGCCTGCTAGATCATGATTTTGTCAAAGCAGTATTAAGAGAGGTGTTTTCAAGGTACAGAGCTGAAATCCCTGTAATAAAGCACCATTGGAAATCAGAGAGGATTCAGTTGCTCTCTGTTGCTCCCTTGTGGCTATTTCAAGCAACTTTGCATCAGTGGCACCTCCATAGTCCAAGAGCTTGTGCCAAAGAATTTGTATAATACATTTTTAAAAAGCTTTCACTATTTAAATCAGGGATATAACAGCACAGTGCCTAGGGCACCAGGGAATCCACAACTTCCTTGGACAGCCTCCATAGTCTTACCAATGTTGAATATTTCAGCAGCAGTAACATATCACATGATCCCACCCCTTTACTCCAGTCCCACAAGATCACAGGAGATCTTGGGGAGGGCAGTCAAATCTTGTGGAATTACGGCAAATTTAGGAGATTTTATTTGCATTTGGGGAGGCTGTCCAAGGCATTGCATGAGACCCCCACAATTGTCCTGGAAATCTGAGTATCTTACAAAAGACCTACGTATAGGTCTTTTGTATATGAAAAAATAATCATGTGGAGTCCTTGGGGTTCTCCAAGCTTGGTTCTTTTCTTGCAAACCTTTCATTACCCAGCTAGGTAACATCTTCAGTGCTAAAAGGGGTTGGGGTTTGCCCTCTATTTATGTGCTGTTGCCTGCCTTGCCAGTGCTGGTGGGGGTGGGGGTTTTGTTTTGCTCCTCTGGTAGTTCTTTG